GGGGTAATTGATATGAGGAAATTGAGTAGAAAGATAAAATAATTTGACCTAGGGTGTACCTGGAGACAGTGGCTTGACAGGGGTTTGGACCCAGGCTGGGCTGGCTGCAGAGCCATCCTGTGTGACTCGAAGCTGTGCTTGTCGTCCACCGCACTGAGCTTATCCTTTAAGGCTGCATGGTCCAGAAGGGTAGGCAATAGCTAGCTACATGTGACGATTGTGAACTTGAAATGTAGTTAATCCAAATTGATATGTATTGTAAGTGTAAATTACACACCAGATTTAGAAAACTTAGTACGGAATAAAGAAATGTTAAATATCTCATTAATAGTTTTTTATATCAATTATGTGTTGAATTTTTGATTGGGTATATATGTATTAAAATTAATTTCACCTAATTTTTTTAATATGGCCACTAGAAAATTTTAAATTACATATATGACTTACATTCTGTTTCTATTGGCTAGCACTGCTTTAATGAATAGAGAAGTCTTTGCTTCTTTGTTAATCTTTTTGCCTTGTAATGATTAAGCCACCTAAAATCCTTGATAAATGATAATTTTAAAATTTCCTCTTCTGTTTTAGTGATCATTATAATTATATAGCATCACTATTAATTTGCAGTGTAAACTGGATTTTTTTCCCCATTAGTTGCTCTCACCAGAAGATTTAGTGAACGCATGCAAGATGCTGGAAGCTCTGAAATTACCTCTCAGGTAAAAGAAGCTACATAGGAATTTTGCCAACTGTAACAACTGCACAGAGTGGACAGGAAAGCCCTGCCAGGTTTGCCATCCTGTGTGGCAAGCCAGCATTTTGTCACTATATGTGGACACAATTCACATGGCACCATAAGCACCTCTGTCATCCGGTTTCCATGCTGTGCGTGGCCTGAGTGATTTGGTCTCGTTGATTGGGGGCCATGAGATAAGAATATGGGCTTCTCTGATGAAGTCAGGGTAACTAGCTCCTCTTCCCTGAGACATTTTGTGTTTGGGAACTTAGAAGTACAAATGTTCAGCTGTGAATTATATTTTCCTCATCCTTAGGTTAAAAAATGTAGCCAGACATTTTATTCAGCATGTGGATTATAGTTCATAATTTTTTAAACTGTTTACTCATGAGCTTTTTAGTGATGCCATAGTTGCTTGTGGTCTTTAGGTTTTAAATGTTGTTTTGTGTTCATATTGTCCTCATACCTGATCATAAAAGAAAATGAAAAATATTTGTGCCTTCTTAGTGGCTGAAGAGCCACTAAGTGGCTTTGTTCTCCCGTCTTCGTTTTTTAGGCTCCGAGTTTTTGACAGTGGCGTCATGGTAATTGAGCTTCAGTCCCACAAGGAAGAGGAAATGGTGGCCTCAGCCTTGGAAACAGTATGTGAACCCGGTTTCCTCCAGTTATTAGGGCTTGCTGCGAGGACCTGAATGCCTAGTAACTTGAGAAACAGGATTTCCTTTTGAATTTAACTTTACTAAAAAGTAACGTTTGCAGACCCAGTTAAAAATGGCTTATCATTAACAATGAATAAGTATTAATCAAAATTATACTTTGAAAGCTTTTCAAAACTTGCTAACACTCAACACATCTTATAGTAAAGAAGGATGAGAATTAGTGAGGTGGTCTCTTTTTGTCTGAAGCTCAGTCTTGAGAACGTTTTTATCTTCATTAATCAGAATGTTACCGATGATTGAACTTTTCCTTTCGGTAACACCTACATAAAGCAGCATTACAAACATCACAAGTTGTTTTATGAAATTGTTGCTTCAAAAATTATGAAAAGCAACTGTAGTCTAGATGGATTTTTTATTTTTTTTAAGTTGAGCCATCCTGCCACCTGTTGGCAGCTCAGCGGCTGCTCAGCTCGGGCTAGGATTCGAACCGCTGTTGCTCAGAGCTTAAACTCTTGAGCGAGCTCTTAACCAACTGAGCCACTCGGCTGGCCCTCTAGATGGATTTTTATGGCCAAACTGCAATTACTCATTAAGATACTTGAAATATTACTGCTTTTATAGCTGCTACAATGAGCTTGTATAATTTTGAATAACTCACACTTATACTTTTTATTGTAAACTAGATGAAAAACCCAAGACTATAGATATTTCAAATACCATATATATATATATATATTGGTGCATGTAATGTGCACTCAGTTAGAATTTGTTATATGTTCCTTTTCAGAATATCGAAGTTTTTTTTTTTAGGATTTAGTACAGTGCCTTTGTTACATTACAGAAGATTTCACAGTATTTTAGCTTCTACTTTATTTGGTCTGGGTCCTTAAGCTTTTATAGAACTAAATGTTAGTGAAGAAGACTTAGTTCTATAATGAATATTTTTTGGGTTTCAGTAGAAAATTCAGTAAATTATTTCCTGAGTATACTGGTAGGCATTCCCTCTAGGTACCTAAGTGGTGTAAATTGTGACATCTTTTTCTGCTATGTGTTTCTGTTAGGTTTCAGAAAGAGGATCCCTAACATCAGAAGAGTTTGCCAAGCTTGTGGGAATGTCTGTCCTCCTGGCTAAAGAAAGGTACGTAAGGTCCTTGCTCTTCATTACAGCTTGTAATTCTGAATGGACAGATGATTGTGGTTTTCTCCACTTGATTCCTAGGTTGCTTCTTGCAGAGAAGATGGGCCATCTTTGCCGAGACGACTCAGTGGAAGGCTTACGGTTTTACCCAAATTTATTTATGACACAGAGCTAAGGGTTTTGTGTTTGAAATACTTCTTATCCATATACTTGTGTCATGTGGAGGTTGTATCACATTGAGCAAAGAGTAAACCCTGAGAATAAATTGAGAATTTACTGGAACTTCACAGTATAAAACCCTTTAAATTTTTCCTTAAATATTATGGTCCAGGAATTTAATTTAGGATATAGATAGGAACAAAATGAATTCAAATGTGAATTTGAAATCTTGCTACAATTGTCTAGAACCCTCAGAGTTTAACTTGAAATGTGGTGGATTTTAACTTGAACCTTAAATCTAACCATTTTTTAAAGAAAGAAATTTAGTTCATGGGGGAAGAGAAAGAGAAGTTGCATGCTTTGACAGGTTATGTCATTATCTTGGTGTGACTAAAATTCACTGCATTACAAATAAGTGAAGTTTTTTTCTGTTTCTAATGTGCCCATTTTGGGGATTTTCATGAAACAAGTCGATCATACAGTGTAGTTTAAGAACCTGACAACACTGGAACCAAATATCAAACTGTGGAAACATGGGCAGCTCCCCTTAAGGGCTTTTCTTTAGAAGCAGTCATAAGCATGTCTTAAAGACCAAATAAAACATCTTACAGAAGGACAGAATTTTATTTGCTCACGTACATATTATCTGAGTAGTTTCTTTTTTTTTAAGTGATGATTTCATGGCTGGCATTTAAAGAATGCAACTATGTCATTTTGTTTTAAAACTGCTGTGGATTTTGAAACTGAATTAAAGAGCTGTATAGACATGCCCAGAGATACGATTACTAATTTGGGAAGTAGATGGCTCAGGAATTCCCTAGGATTGTGTGTGGGTGGAGGGGCTGGGAGAACCTTTAGCTAGCTTAGGGACCTTGGTGCTTTTTGACCTCAAAGCCAAGGATGGGAACATAAACGTGGAAAAGTATTATGTCTCCTTTTTCTTCCCACAAGGAGCTTGAACACTGAACTTTTAAAAATCTTTTCTGTCATATTTTAGCAATATTTTTTTGTCCTTACCCTACACATTGTAAGTCGTGTGGAGAAACTTTCCTGCTAAAAATTATTACTGAGGTCACAAAAACTGGCTCATACTGAATTTAGATTGCTTGATTGTTAAAGTGGACTCTGATTTCATATGTCCCTGCTGTACAGCATACAGTATATTGACATTACCTCAAACTCAGGGACCCCACAGGCATAGAGGAAACCCTTGTTCTGAGACCAGGTTAGAAGTGGAAGGTAGTGATGGGTTTTGGCCAAGCCTCCGGAAGGGGTAGTATCTGTATTGAGAGACTGTTGAGATCAGGAGGAGGCGATGCCCAGGTTCGCACTCTGGGGTCCCTAAGACATTCTCACTGAGTGAGGTGGAGGGCCAGAGGCCGCTACAGATGCCCTTTGGGAAAGGTGCAGGGATCCTCAGCTGCAGACCCAGGGAATCCCTCCAAGTGCAGCCGGAGTCAGTCCCTGATCCCTGCCCGAAAAGCAGCTGTCACTGCTTTGTATCCTCCAGTGTCTGGGGAATGTTGTGCCTGTGGCATCCTGCCTTAGTCTTCATTTTCCAAACCTGTCACTGTTTCCACATTGTGATGACAGGTTTCTTAAATCCCTCATTGCTCAGCCCCAGGTTTGGGGGGAACTGAGTGTCTGGCTGCCCAAGTCTTTTGGGCCATTGTGTAACCTTGCTTATATGTCACTCCTCTCTCTGGGCTGTGCTCATTCTCTCACAGTGCTGTGGCAAACTTGTACGTACATGTGCGCACACGTGTACTTACACAATATCTCATCTGCCTCAGGTCTTTAAAAATTACAAAAAGAAACAATTTATGTCACCGGTTGGAATGAGTTGCAGCTAAGATGGTTTGAGCTACTGAGATCTAGCTCTAATGTTTGGATTCATTACAGCAAATTCCCATAAATCATATTTATTTACATTAATGTGACAACACATTAACAAAAATGGAGCAATCTGAATTGTATAATGCGAACTAAAGAGGCAGTAAAGTGACATATGAATATGTTTTGCAAATGTCACATTAATTAAAAATAGATATGATTGCTTTTATTGTTTTATTTTTAAAGTGGGCATTCTTCATTGTTTCCAGACCTCTGTATGTATTTTTTTTTTTTCATCAAATAAGGTGGTGTTTTGGTCCTCTATAGGTAGAGGTTATGTTTAAATACAACCATTCAGGCCGTAGTGCAAAGAAGTTCTGTCTTGGTGCTTATCATTGGTATAATTATTATTTTCGCTTTCCTAACTTTGCTCTTAAGAGAATAAATCTGTAGTTTTATTGATGGAATATTTCTAGTCACATACTGTCAAAATTTTTTACATTGTACAAGTGAAGATTGTTTTCAGGGTTAAATGATTGGTATTAATGTATATAGAGTAAAGTTATTGGAAAATTTTAAAATGAGTTTTCTTAACTTGGTGTCTTTTTAAATATTCTGAAAAATATATGAACATGACAAACCTTTAGTCAGAATAAGCCAGTATGTTACAATTTGTTCTTTTAGATTTTATAATCAGGGTTTGATTATAAATATTTATGACCTCAAGCTTGTACTATTTTAGTTGTTTTAAAAGAATGGCAAATGGCTCATGAACTGTTTTTGTTTGTTTGTTTTAATTTTTGATGTGAATTCCATTGTTGATTGACCATGTATATTCATGTGAATGTACTATCTCTTGTTCCCCATTACCTGACTAATGTGACTAGATGTGGATTCATATCAAATTCTTAAAATGGTTCTCCTTTGCCTAATAATCTCAAAGTCTTCATTTTGGTACAGTAGAGTCACAGCTTACAAGGTGGTTAGGTTTTAAAGACTGTGCCTAAGGAAGAAATCGAGACTGCTCAAAATGATGCTTGAAAATCTCTTCAATTGCCAATAAAGTTCTACGTATAGTCTTACAATTAGAACCCCTGTAGAGTGATACATGGGTATGAATATTTTATGAATATAGTAAGCACAATATATAATAAAAACTACATACCAATAGTAGACTTTTATTGCACCAATAATTAAACTATTTAAATGTGTCTTTTTTTTTTTTTTTGCCAACAGATACGGTTGAATTTAAGTAAATGTATTGCTAATCCCATCCCTTATGATAGATCTAGAGTGTAAGCTCTACAAGGGCAGAGATTTTTTATCTGGTTTGTTCATGGCTATATCCTCAGAGCCTATAAAAGGGCCTGGCACACAGGAAGCACTCAATAAACATTTATTGAATGAATGAACTCTGATGTATATACCTATTTATAATTTGGCTCAACTTTATCCTACTTTATCTCTCATTCACTTCAGTTAAAAAAAACATTTTTTTGAATACACACCAACTTAGTGTGAGGAACTCTGTGGGCCACTGGTGGGTGGGGATACAAAAGTGAGTAAGATACAGCCCTTGCCCTTAAGAAGGTGGCCTAGTTGGGGAAATGGACATGTGGGCAACCTTAATTGGGGATGGAATGAAGTGTTTGCCATGGAAGGGGCACAAGTACCACGCTATGGAAGTCACAGGGAAGAGCCCTTCGTTCTGATGGAGGAATCTAGGAAGGCCTGTGGGAGCGGAAGAGCTTAGTAAACTAGGCTCACAAGGACCACGAGATCGGCATAATACATGGTGGAAGGCATTGGATCGAGGAAACTGCACGAGGTGTGCTCCTTCTTCCTGGGACGCGTTTCCCTTCTCTGTTCAGAAGAATTTGTTTTCCCACTCACGTCCCACCTGCTCTAGAAAAATTTGTTTTCAGTACACAACTCTACTATTACTAAACTCCATAAGAGTTACTGTCTGCCCAATACACTTGACTGTATTTTGTATTGTTCTCCAATTGGTGTCCTGATGCCATAAGAAAGTGGAGAAGTTAGGTTTCTTTAAAGTTCAAGGACTGTCACATAACACTCGAATTCCCACTGGCCTAGTCAGTGATTGCACATGGTAGATTCCTAGTTAAAGTATTAACTGAATTGAGTGATTTTTTTGGATTACAGTGTATTATGAGTTGACTCGCAAACCTAAATCAGTGTTCTTTACCCTCTTCCCATGAGGTTTCTCAGCCAGACTGGTCGGGGCTCAGCTTGTCTGAGATACACTCTGTGTTATCCAAATTCCGTGACATAGGCCATATCCATGATGTGGGAAGCACACAAGGAAAGTCAGGTTAACACACATGTAAGGTCTTATTATTACAGTGTGAAAATTGGGTCATTCATGTTCTCCCTTGTATTTTGATAACCTTGAGTCAGTTCAAGCTTTTCTCTCAGTATTATCTAGGGAAATAAAAAGATCTCACCATTTGTATAAAGGATGTTATTGAGACCGAATAAATTTTACACCATTCGCACAAGATTATTGGAGCAGCTGCTGACCCAGAAAGAACTGAAGATCTTAACAGCCAGCTTGTTTTAGTTCAATACCAACAAGACCATACCATTGTTTTGAAAGCTTTTTTTCTTCACGTCTGTTGCCTTCTTTTAGAAAAGCTTCAACTATTTTAACTGTCCAATAAAGACAGTAGTAATACAGTTTGGCAAGAATTCTAATTAAGGCAAAAATGATCCAGCCATTTGTACCTAGATTTAGGACTCCCCCCGCCCCCCAAGAATGGGTCTCTAAGGGAGTGTGTGTGTCTGAAAGATTAATGCAGAGCAAGTTGCTTTCTATATGATTCACTCAGTCACCAAGAAACTTCAATATAATTAATACTATATGCCTTTTACAGTGGCGGAAAGGAGGGATTAAGTCATTTGCCCAAGGTTACAGAGACAGGGCTGGAATTAATCTCAGCTTGATGTAACTAAAGCCCACAATTTCCATTGAGCTTTTGCTTTCTGAACTGAAACTGCCAGGGACTGCGGCATGTATTTGAAAAGGATTCCCAACTTGAGTTGAATGGATATATTGGACTAGGTAATTCCGCTGGCAGTGAAATTAGATGATGGCCTTAAAGCCTTTTTTTCAAACTTTGGATGGATTTAATTAGTACTGCCAGAATTACTTATTTGACAAGATTCGGTATCTCTGACAACCTCTGATAACTGATCATTGAATAGTTGTGCTACCTTTTAAAAGGTTAAGTGATAGATTCAAGGACCTGCATATGCTATATTGTTTAAGCGTTTTAAAAATTGAAGTAAAATTTACGAACAGCGAAATGTACAGATCTTAAATCAGATGAGTTTTGACAAATGCATAATCTGTGAAACTCACACCCCAACCAATATGATTTATCTATCATCCCCCAAAGTTCCCCGATGCCTCTTTCCAAGCACCTGCTCCCCAGAGGCCACCACTGTGCTGACTTCTATTACCACGCATTAGTTTTGTCTGGTAAATGGTATATTTTGTGTACTCAGCAACAAACTACAGCTGTTAAACTAAGTGGAACTCTAGCCTCTCCTTATAAAAAGAACTTTGACACCTGCGGATTAGATTTTTTTTTAATGTTATTTTAAAATTAATTAAATAACCATTCTGGCTCCTGAGAAATACAAATATGCACTTTACCTGAACTGTTTTCTTTTGAAAGTCTTCAACAACATTTGGGAAACCAAGTTTTGGGGGAAACCATGTTTAACAGCCCGCCAGTTATGTCACTTCAATGACTTACTTTGTTTTCCCACTGAAGAAAATGACACGAGGGAGAAGTGATTGAATTTGAAACTTCAAGAGACTGCTGGCTCTCCCTTAAAACCCGTGTCCCGCCTGCCGGGTTTCCTCTCCCCAGCGGGCTGGCAGGGCGCGGGCAGGAAAGGATGCACTGCCTAGAGCGGGTGGGGGCGGGGCGGGCCCCGCCGGCTAGCGCAGGTCCCCCGCCCCCCGGGTGCCGCCTACCCCGCGCCGTCGGGGGCGGGTCAGGGTGGGGCTGCGGGAGGCGAGCGCAGCGGGCCAGGGCGCAGCGGGCCTGGGCGCGCCGTCCCGGGACGCGGGATGCTCGGCGCTCTACCTCCTAGGCCCTGAGGCCTCTCGCCCGCCGTTCTCCTCGCTGCTCCTCTCGCCCCGGCCCAGGCCGCTGCTCCCGCCAGTCCCGAGAGGTAAGAAGAGCTTTCGCGACCCAGAGGGCGCTCCTGTCCGCTGCGTTCTCGGCGGCTCCTCTGGGGTCGGGCAGCGCCTCCCAGCCCCTGCCGCCCCCACCCTCCCCGCAGCCCGAAAGCACAGGTGGGTGGTGTCAGTCCCTCGACGCACCCAGTCCCCTTCCCTGGCTCCTTGGTGATCAACCTCCGCCCCCAGGGGACACGCTCTAAACGTGTGCGTCTCCGCCTCTCCGAGTCCCGACTTTAACCTGAACCCGGCTCTCCCCGGACGCAGGTGTTGCCAAGGGACCGAGGCTGACTGTAGACGGGCGTTAAGTCCAAATAGTTGGGATCCTTGAAGAATAGCGTCTTGGAATACTAAGCGTTTCAGAGCAAATTTGCTTCATTTCAAAAAGAAATCTTTTCTGGGATATAAAGAGTATGAGATATAAGCGTTTCAAAGCGGTCCACGTTTTAAGAGAGCTTTGTCTGATGACACCGGGGCTCCATTTCCAAGCATGAACTTGACTTGCGAGCCTTTGGAAACTGAGCAGATTGGGCGTGCACACAGCTTCCCAGGGAAGCTGCTTCCAACCCGTGGGACCAGGGCAGAGTCGACAGGACTGCGTATATAAATAAAGCCAGTTTACACGAGCTGCTTTGGAATTAGGGATTTCCTCCTAATAAATATTATTATTATTAGATGTATACACACACAAGCATGTGCAGGTTTGTCAGAAGGGACAAAATCATTATGTGTTTTTTCCCCTTTTATTTAATGTGATTGGTTCCATAGACTTTAGAGTAATGCATTTTCTGTAGCTATAAAGACACTGTAGAGGGTTATCTTAGTTGGTTTCACCAAAAACAGGATCTGAGCTTGACGTGATGCCATTAGCTATTGAGAATATTCACAACCTCTGCCTACCCTCTAGCTGTTACATTTAGAATTTGTAGTAAACCGTTATGACTGTGAATGCTATATGGAAGTATTTTTAAATGTGTAGAAAATACATCTAGGTTCTTATTTTCTCAAAACGATTTTCAAGTCAAATATTTTAAGTAGCCAGCACTGTATTGTGAATAACACAATAGGAAAAATTAAGCAAACAAGATTACAAATAAAAGCATGTTTTCTTCTTTTTTAAAAAATAGTGCTTTTTACCCAGCATTCTATTCCATTCTGGGGTGCTCTGTTAAAGTTTTCAAGTTAATGGTTTAGTGAGTAAAAATTCAATATTTATTTTCAAAAGCTTGAGAACATTAAGAAAATCCATATAATGATTTCAGTCAGGTAGGCTAGTTTATTTTACAATTCCAGTCCCATTCAGTTCAAAATATAGATGATCACATAGTCTAGGTTTTACTGGTTATTTTCTTAAGAAGGAAAATGTGTTATAATCACAAAATCAGTTGCAATTAGGAGCTTATTTAAAAAATGTTTATTGCAGGGAAGCAAGCAATTTGGGAGAAGCCAGTTCAACTTTTGGGAGCTCCTTACTTTGGTTACTATCTATCAGTGACCTAAAGGACGCGTTTTAATTGCCCTAAGCACCATGCTTGCGGGGGAGATACGTGATGCTTACCTGTGGTCTTTGGCCAAGTTTCCCAGACCATGTTCAAAGAAAGGATTTAGGTCAAATCTGTGCCTGATTCCAGCAAAACTGAAGTTTCCTTTTTTGCTGGGGAGGGAAGGGAGCCCCAATCATCTGCATAATTACGCTTCAGATTTCTGCTTCCCTTTGAGGAAGTACAGTATTTCCTTTGTTCAACTCCTACTGAGAGAAAGCTAATAGTGACACATCGGTTTTCTTTCCATTGAATTTTTAATTGTTTCAGTCCTTTTAATTCCACTAAATTTCTGTCTTAATGGATGTAAAAATACATATTTTTGGAATGTAATATACTTATTAAAAATTATTAACTGGGTAATGGGAATGTAAA